TTGTCAGCACCACGCTCACCCAGTGAGCCAACTGGCCATCCCTATATAGGGATCCAAACCCAGGGCCTCGGTGTTATCAGCACCACACTCTCCCAAGTGAGCCACGGGCTGATCCCAAGTTACGATACTTTTAAAAATAATGGTTATAACAAATAACAAATAATTGCGCCACTATAACAAATAAATCCTAGTAAAAAAACTGATAGTTTATTTTTCAGTTACTTAAACTCCAAATATATGTTCCTGGTTGGGCAGCTGTCCTGGAGAGCTGTCTTTCAAAAGTAAGGAAGGGGTGGGACTCCTTGGATCTCATGGTTTTCCATCCCCTAGGACTCCTGGAACTCTTAGTTAAGTGTTCAGCATGTAGTTGGCTGACAAGTAAAGAGAGAGAAGACACCTAGAGGGTTATCCAGGATGCCCTACGGGCCAAGCTGGGCTGTAGCCTCCATCACTTATGCTCAGATCTTGTTGGCCAGAACTCAATCATACAGACTGGGAGGAAGAAGTAGTTAATCCCTGTGCATCTCAGCACAGGGATTGATGGCTCACTGACCTCTAGTTCCAGAGAGTGTGGCTTCAAATTCCAGCCCTGGAACCTTGGGCAAGAGACTTCACTTCTCCACACCTTAGTTCGCTCAGCTGTACAGCGGGGATTGTGATAATGCCCACCACACAAGGTTGTGAGATCTGTAAACATAGTGAAGCACTTAAGCATAGTGCTTGGCAAGGAGTAAATGTTAGCAGTTAGAAGACTACTGAAGTTTGGAAGCTGCTCCCCCAGCACTCATGGGAGAGAGAAGACTACCGGAAATGGTGATGTAGAGTGTACAGCTCTGGCCCACTTCCGTCAGACCATGAAGACCTCTCTGAGGTTACAGCTGCTTCTGTTCCACTCTCAGGATCTCCTATCCCTTGCTCCCCCTGCCTAGACTCTGCATGGCTATTGACACCATGGCCCCACAGACCAGAGTGCTAGCTCCTCGGCATCTCATGTGCATCTTCTGCACTACCCGATCTGACCTGCTCTTAGACCTTCTGGAAGCCCCAGGGCCCAGCACTGATGTGAGGTAGCGGTAAATCCCTTTGGGGAAATGCAAAGAGTCACGTGGGAGGATGCCCGGATGGTGAGCAGGGCCAGATCCCAGGATGTCTCCATACCTTTGTCGGTGACTTCGGCTTTAGACCAAGGGCTGTGGGGAGTTAATGTATAGGTAAGGGTGGGAGTAGGAATGGGATTGAATTTTGATTCTGGGAGGCTCACCTAGACTGCAGGGTGCAGGTGGAAAGATGTCGGAAAGAATTACATAGGAATAGTGGGGACCTGCCTGATGCCTTGACATGCAGATGCCCTGACATGCACGGTCATGGAGAATAAACTAATACCCTTGAAACACACTTCTATTTGCATTGCTGGCTCCCACCTCTCCACCTAAAGAAGGCAATTGAGTGAAGTGCCAATCCTGCTCCCTGTCTATCTTCCACTCCCCACCCCCGTTGTCCGTGTTTAGTTCTGGACTCTGTCCTCTGGGTCTTAAGCCGGATCATGGACTTCCTGCTCAGGTTAAAGCTTGCCATTTGCTGCCAATTCTCCCTTAGTTCCAGCCTGGGCTCCGAGATAAACCCTTTTGTCTGAAAAGCTCCACAGAATTCTATGCTCTTACTGCATGGCCAGACTAATCACAAACCATTGTCTTGTCTTCCTACAGTACTTTCACGTTTGTAAGGCTCTTTTGCCCATGTTATTTTATTTCATTTAGAATCAAATTGTAATCGCAAGAGATAGTAAAAAAAATTATATTCTGATGTGCATGCCATAGGCAGGGATTCTGAAGTTTTATTAGACATGAGAATTGTCTGGAGTGTTTGTTAATATGCAGGTTCCCAGACCATCCCTCAGAAATGCTGATTTTAATGAGCTTCTTATATCTATTTAATGTGGACA